AAATTTATTATTCAAATTGTTCGAGAACTTTATTCAGCATTTACTGATGCCAATGTCAACATATCCTGAGATCAATATTATGCAGATGAGATCCAAAAAGAGATTAAGTGTGTGTGGTCTATGACACAAAGTATATTTATTCCTGCCTCTATGTACCTTCAGCTGCTCAATTCTTTTGCTGGGTTAGTTTTTGCATGGATCAGTTTCTCAAACCATCTCACAAGGAGAGATCAAGACAGGGCAGGAATAAACAGAAAACATGGGGAAGGACCAGAATTCTTCTTCCAGTTTATGCCAGCTTAAATTGTCAGATGAAGATGAACTTGAGAGTCTACCTTTATCTTTCCCTCTATATACTGGATAATTGTTACTCATAAATAAGTTTGATTCTAGGACAAGAAAGACTTAGTCAAAATGAGTTTCAACACACCCTAAACAGATCCACAACACACAAGAGCCCTCTTGTGCTCTCTTCAACTGCTGCCTGGCATTTAATGTTTGATCCCACCTATGTTTCAACAGAGAAAATACATGACAGAAGATCATATGTAGAATTAAAGAAGTATCTTTGACTGCCAGACTGCAGGGACTGGAACATCTCTCATACTAGGAAAGGCTGAGAGAGTTGGGACTGTTCAGCCTGGAGAAGTGAAGGCTCACAAGGGATCTCATCAATGTTCACAAATACCCAAAGGGAGGGTGTAAAGAAGCTGTAGTGAGGCTCTTTTCAGTGGTGCCCGGTGACAGGACCAGAGGCAATGGGCACAAAATGAAACAGGAGGTTCCATCCAAACATCAGGAAACACTTTTTTACTGTGAGGATGACTGAGCGCTGGCACAAGTTGCCCAGAGAGGTTCTGGAGTCTCCATCCTTGGAGATACTCAAAAACCATCTGGACATCATCCTGGGCTACCACCTCTAGCTAGCCCTGCTTGAGCAGGGAGGTTGTACAAGATGACCTCCAGAGGTCCCTTCCAACCCCAACGATTCAGTGATTCTGTTGGTACAGAATGTGATATTTCCATGTTTAGTGACAATTATTGTAGCTAATATCCTGATTTGCTTCAGCTTGGATGCTTTGTAAATATTTTCTGTGGGACAGATGTCAATACCTGTTCTAGAACTGAGAATAGAAAATCTAAAAATTGTCATGAATCTTATCATTTATCCAAACAAAACAAAGTTATCATTGCCTCAAACATTTGCTAGTTGTCTGAGGTTAGGGCACATAGATGTCTCCAATTCTGTTGTTACAAAGGTGATTGATACATGTATGACTGATACCCTGTTGTCATCTTGAAAAAGAGAAGCTAATGAAGCTGGACTCCCTCTCCACTTATAAAAGACCACATTCTTCAAGGCAATATGAATCATGTCCCTACTATCCTCACTAAACTTCAATCACTTATTCCACATAAAATGTTTTTCTTCTCTCTGAAGGACACTTTCCTCCTCTCTAAGCATGCCAAGTAGATAAACCAACATTATTTGATGTGGAATAAGTTTTATTCCAGACAGGAAGAGACAACTGAACTTCGACTGGATAACTATGAGTGACAAACAACTGGAACCTATGGTCACAGCATCATAACTGTTTTTTCCTTTTTTTTTTTTTTTTTTTTTTTTTTTCTTTTTTGAAGAGGGGAAGGTTGAGGCTGATTTTATATCTTGTTACATGTCTTTTTGAGAAGATCTGTGTCTCTCGAATTATGGATGGGTTCTGATTATAAACATGATTCTAACCATGAGAATCCAAGACTTTTCTCACCAGGGCCCAGTGGAATCACTGTTGAGGAGATATTGAGAGTAACAATAAAAACATGTCAGGAAAGAATGGAGCAATTGAAACCCAAGCCTGTATTCAAATAATTTATTAATTTTGGATTTGTCATTGAGAATAATGCTATTTAAAGAGCAATTCTAGCTTTACAATTTTCAAAATTTTATTTTGACAATGGTTTTATTTTTGCAATACCTAGTCCTGCATTCATATAATTTCAAGATTATGCTGGCTTTTAGTTGTTTAGAAAAGTGTATTTTAAATTTTTCTTGTCACATTGGAGTGTGACTTAAATGTGTTTAAAGTCTCCAAAAGCTCACAACAAATGAAAAGAAGTGAAATGCAATATTTAGAGTTTTATTATTTTTAAGCGATTAGCTTAATGATTTTGAAGACTGCATGGATGATTTTCTAATATTTAGAGTTGTCAGTATGTGTATACTTAATGTATTGATGTTGATTGCCACATTATAAGACCATAATTTTCAATACAATTGTTCCTGCTCTATACAATCAAAGATTTCTGTAAGAATCAGATACTTCCATATTAACACAAGCTAAAAATTGATGAATAAGAAATATATTCTCAAAGTAATTAAAATCTGAATATTAGGAATGTACATGGAGGCTTGGGTTGGCAAGGTGTTGTCTGTACTGCACAACGTCAAACTTAATTTGGAAACACCAAATTCTGCATAGTGTCAGCTACTGGACTTGGATTAAATACTTCACTAAATACAATGTATACGATATGGTAAGCTCCTTTTAGTAATGTAGTATATAGTAGTTTTAAGAAACGTATCTTCAAATCAGCTTCTTTCTCGCATTTCTGAACTTGTGTTAGTGATCTCCAAAACTCCATTGGAAATCAACATTATTTGGGCACCTGTCTTTCTTCTAGACATTTGACAATTGTGGTATTAAAGAGTAAATGTTCTTCCTCGCTGATGTATAACAACTATTTTAGAGTGTAAGCTCCATGGGGCAGGGACTTTTTAATCACAGATACCTGAACAGAGGCTAGTATCTTTCAGATGTTATTGGCATATAAATAACTGTTAACTAATACACAATGATTTTAGAACAGTTTCATGTTAAGTATAATTTAATTATCAAAATAATTGTTTCTTTAAAGAAATACCCAAAGTATCTTCAGAAATATAAACCAACACACATGGTCTGCATGGTTTTTGCTTAATGGTAAAGTACAATCCCTTGATAAATGAGATGATAAACAGAAGCTGATGTGAAAAATGAATACAATTCATCCTAAGGCTGTGCTCCTGACTTTCTAACAATTCAAATACCTTTTCCTGTAAGTACCTCTGAATTGAAAATATATTTCCTATTTTGTATCCTATAAAAAATTGGACATCTTCTAAATTATATTCAGATAGATGTATAGTAAAAGAATTAATTCAAAATAGGTCTTTTTTACTCACATGACTAGAGAACAGTTTCAAAATAAACACCCGTAATTTTTCTCTACCTGTCTCATTGACCAGATGTATTTGGTTATCAGTTTCTCAGTATCGTTCAGTAAATAAGTTGCTACAACCCACAATATTTTTATTTCAATATAATTATAATAAAATAAAAAGAGTAATTGAATACTAAGCTATTTCTAGTGGTGTGATAGATACTAAAAACAGTGGCATCACAGAAACTTTTCATTTATCATATTTTCTTTTGCTTATTATTGTTGAATGTTGGCTTTTTCTGAGGATGTATAAATTTCATATGGTAATGCCCTATAGCTCATAAAATTTTTGTATATATTTGTGTTAAAACATTCTGTTTGTTATTTCACAGCACTGATTTCCATTAGCAATCATAGAAACATTTCAACTCAGTTAAAGGTACTAATATTTCATTTGTAAATCATAGCTTGGCCTGTGTGGACAGAAGCCTCATATCAGAAATGTGTTCATCTTCTCCACTAGCAAGGGATATGAGTTGTGAATATCTTTATGCAATAAGAGTGAGTGCACAGACCTTTTCTGTAAGAATTAATATAGCAACAAGGAAATGCATTTTGGATATTATTTTTTTTCTGTGCAGGAATATTTACAAGTTTGTAGAAAAACATTGCAGAGGATAAACAGGAATAAATTAATAGACTGCTCTAATGACAAAAAGACACATCCTGTTCACATATTCATAAGACTGGTAGCATCAGTTCATGTTTTGTCCTTAGAAATATGCAACAGATGTAGCCGGTCCCAGGGAAAGCATATGACCCATTAACATCATTCACAGCAGATAACAGGACTTAATGGAAAGAAAGGGTGGTGCATAATAACGTGTCAGGCCCATTCCTTAACACAGTGGGCAGAGTCACAAGATTGGCAGTACTCCCACAGAAGTCAGTAGTAGAAATGTTTATTGATTCTAAAAGAATCAGAGGTAATATGATCCTAGACAATTTAGAAAAGCTCACACATAATGACCATGTTGTAAGTAGCTCACTTTTTTTCTTCTAAACAAGATTAACATGTTACCATGGTACCCGAGAGGAATCCCATGGTTCTACTTCAGGCAAACTCCCATTGTTCTGAATAAGACATGAACAAGGACCATAGCAACTAGCCCTATGGTTTGCTGAACTAATCATCTGCCTATGCAAATCTGCATAACACCATTGTTTCAGTGGCACATGTTGTTTTTAATGATAAAAATCTAAGTCAGTCCTACACTTACAAGCAGAATATATTTAACATGAAAATCCCATTAAAATGCACTCTCTGAAAAATATCTGATCTTGTTCAGATAGCTCTCATTTTACAAATGTCATTGTTATTTCAGCAAAAACCTCTCTTATATTAAATTTAGTACTTTTATAATTGATAAAAATGAAGTTAGACATATTAGTCCAAATAGGTGCAATTCAGTCAAGACTCTCCCTTTAGCTGTCTTATTTGTTATTTTACTGCAGTATATTCATTCTTATACCTTGATAACATTTCTTGCAATGAAAGAAATCTTAATAAAGAATTTTGTAACCACTACATACATTAGTATGTACTTTAGTATTCACATTGTATAAGCTTTGCAATTAAGATTACACTATTCACTTATTGAATTGTAATACTCTGACAGCTCTTAGCACCACCTCTATTTGTATGTCACTTCTTTCTTTCTGTGCAGGAAGAAAACATAAAAATTATATAAAGCAACTTTCATAGCATTCACATGAAATCCTTATGCTTGTCTTTCCAGGTCCTGAAGGGGTTTCCAGAATGCTTACAAGCTGACATTTGTCTGCACCTCAACCAAAATTTGCTTCAGAATTGCAAAGCTTTCCGGGGGGCCAGCAAAGGCTGTCTTCGAGCTTTGGCTATGAAATTTAAGACAACACATGCACCTCCTGGAGACACTTTAGTGCACTGTGGAGATGTTCTCACTGCTCTTTACTTTGTGTCAAGAGGCTCCATTGAAATCCTTAAGAGTGACATTGTTGTAGCCATTCTTGGTAAGTAGATTACCACAAGGCATGTTAAAAGAGTCAGGGGATTGAAAAGAAATATCCGTTGTTGTTCCTGGGAAAGGAAATTTGTAAATGTTTTACTCACTCTTATTTAAATCAAGCAGAGAAATAATTTGTTTGAGGAGCAAAGTCTACATTACTGCAATAATTCATGTACACCAAAGACCCCATGTCCTTGGATATCTAAAATATAAGAGCAGGAGTGAGTCAGATTTATCCCTAGGTAAGTGGTAAACTGCAAGTTGAGGCAAGCAGATATCAAATTACTCCAGTTCTGATTATGCTGCAAGAGCCAAAGTCAACGATACCCTTTTCTTTAACAGTGTATGAGAGTACTGAGTCACACAGACCCCCTGTATGCTAACTGGAAAAAAAAAATGTATCTACTTCAGGCATTCAAAATGTCTTCTAGAGGTTTTCAGAAACATCTGCTTGTGTCCACTGAGCATATAGAAAAGGAAGAGAATAACAGATTAATCTGATCTTGATTGATACTTAAGTGTAATAACACCAGTGTTTCCCCTATATTTCTTATTAACATGTTCTTGTTGTATAGCACTGGGAGTTGTTTTCTTTCTCAGTGAAGATGGCTCAGATCAATGTTCAATCCAGCTGGGAGCTCACCTGCAGCTGGTGATAGCTCTTATGTCGAACCAATAAGACTTCATTAGCCACAGCAATTTTAAAAGTAAAATAACTAAAAGCCTACCTAAGCAAGACTACTGGTTTGTTTCTCCAATTTAATATCAGGTAATAAGAACACAAAGAATGACTGAGTAGATGAGTAAGGATTTTGCTCTATGGAAACCTGCACCAGCTGTAACATCATTCATATGTTCTCCTTTCTATCTAACATCTACTGTAGGAACTTACAGCCAGAAAACTAGCTGAAGCAGAACGTGGACTGGTAGCAGTATGTTGCTATTAATCCACTTGTGACTGACTATTCTACTAGTACTTTGCAGGGTGGGTATGTGAACAGAAGTACAAAGCTGTGCCTACAGCAACTCTTCCCTAGGTTTAGATGGTGTTACCAAGATGATTTGTCATCTCATGCTGTTGCACCTCATCAGATGGGCCAGCTTTAGGCACAAGCAAAGTAGGGAGCATGCAAGTATAACACTGTGAGGTTTTTACACTCACTGTGTGAGTGTCTTCCCCCGATTATGAACACTGTGGTTCATTGAGGATTTCATCTCTTACATCAAAAACATGTAAATTTCTATAGCACTCACAATCAAGAAAAACTGACAAGTTTATGAACTCATTAATTTCTTCCTGGACCAAAGATGCAGACTGGTCAAGTTCTGCATGTTATGCACATCAGATCCTTGCGTTCTCACGCTGCAGGAGAAACCCAGGTATTTGCAGGGCAATGCCACTATATCTCTTTGAGCCTACAGCTCCTCACACCAGGGGCTGCAGTTTGCAGCCTCACTCTCCTGAGGAAGGGTGGTTCAGACAGAGAGACAGTTGTGCACAACTGCAGCCAAAAGGAACTGCTCTCTGGGCCCACATCTGTTGCACAATCCATGAGGCAGGAGCCTGACTCATAGCTGGCTCCAGTCAATGAGTCTGTGGTATCTTGAATCTGCTAAAAAAGAATAGAAGATGATACAAGTGAAAATTACTCTGCAATGAAATCACACAGAAACCTAACAAAGATTATCAATACTTAGCCAAATATTTTTAGTTAATTCCTCTTTCTGAAAAAACTACACAGAGAAATGGACATAAAAACCACTTAATGCTATGTCCTCTGTGGTTGAAAAGACTTCAGTCCAACAGAGGTAGCATGGATGAACTTTCCACCCTTAACAAGTTTTGCAACTTCATCACAGAAATCAGAGTTCTGAGAAATGTTGGGTTTGTCCCTCAGTTTTCCTCAACTTGTCTGCACTGCCTGATGCTGCTGAGTAAGGTCTGATCAGTACTGACCTGACAACAGTAGTTCTGTGCCAAATCCTTAGAAAATACAATGGCTGTGGACCTCATAGAATCTACCCCCTCTTTCAGCTTTGCATACAAGATATAAAAATACTGCATTCATGTCAATAGTCATATTGCAGAGAAGGTATTATATGCCTTGAATAGGGACCTCTGCATTCATAAACATCAACACCAGAAGGACTGTTAGATTATATTGGCTAACCTCTGTTATATCACTGACTCCTGTTACACTCCATACCTTTAACTGTCTGTTGTGTCTAATGAACTGTGTTTGATGAAAGAAAAGCAATGGGGTGTGATCTGAAGACATAACGAGATGAAAAAGTGATCACTTTTCTTGCCAGTTTATTTCCATAGTTAATAATTTTTATTTTTAAAAATGTGTCCTTTAATTCCAGTATAAAATTATCTTGCTTCAATTTCTTTCCAATGGTTCTTGCTATACGTTCCTTATTATATTCTAGAGGCATTTAGTACTGAGTAATTTTTCCTCTCTATAAGGATAGATGCAATATAATCAGGTTACCTCTTAATTTTCCTGTTGATAAGCTGAACAGACTGTGCTCTTTAAGACCCTCACTGTAAATCAGCCCTTAAATTATTTTTTGCATCTTTTAGCTGCTTGCTCACCCAGTTTTCAGCTTCCTTTTTAGAAAATGGAGAAACTGGAACTACTTGCACTAACATAATGTAAAAGCCACAAATGTTTAACACAGAGGCAAAATCACCCCTGTATTCTTTTTTACCAGTCTACTGTTTCTCAGTTGCTATGACCACTATTCTTTTCCACAATTGTTTTCCTAGTTCCCCCCCGCAAACCCCATTTTGAAGATAAGCCCTGCAACCCTTAGTTTAGAGCATATTTTCACTGGTCTATGGCTGCAACTGCTCTGCATTGATGAAGGTTAGGTGCATATTTGGGGAAAACAAGCAATTTAATAGAGATGACAATTTTAGCAAACAGGTACTGTGAATGTATCAACATTGATGGAAAGAATTGTAATAGTATCAAAACAGAGGCAGCTATGTTTAAAGACCTTCTTCAAAACAACTTCTGCATCTTGGAAGTTTTGCATTTCCTATGAAAAATATAAAAAATAAGTCATTTTCTACCAAAATATATTTCAAGTATGGTCTGTTTCTTCATGTAATTCTTAATAAAATGAGATTCCAGGCCAGACAGGTCTTGTACTCTACTGAACAACAGAAATTACATCTTTCTTATCATAACAATACTGTTTTTACAAGAAAGGACAAATGAACCTGCTGTAGTCATGCTAGATGGAACTGAAGAAATACCATGATGAAATTAGATTTTCCTTTCACTTAGTCCAGTTATATGCCTATGTAATTTCATTGATTTTAGTAATTTTGCTTTTAATATTTAATAATAATACTTTTTATTTACAACAATGTATGTAAATGGTAATCTGATTGTATCACTTCATGTAAAATCAAGTATTCTACACCATTATCATAAAGAAATACATCATTTAATTTATTCATGTTTAAAATAATAAACTCTAATTTTCTTTCTGCAGGGAAAAATGATATTTTTGGAGAGATGGTACATCTTTATGCAAAACCAGGAAAGTCAAATGCAGATGTGAGAGCTTTAACTTACTGTGACTTACATAAAATCCAGCGAGAAGACCTACTAGAAGTTTTGGATATGTACCCTGAATTTTCTGATCTCTTTCTCACCAATCTAGAACTGACTTTTAATCTGAGAGATGAAACTGCAAAGGTACATACAATAAGTAATTTTTTTCTTAATATTGGGCCAAATGTGTCCCACAGTAGAAAAACTTGAAAATAACAATTGAAAAACCAAGGTTAGCAAAAATAAAAGCTAAAAGCCTGAGGCCAAATCCTATTTTAAAAAAATACATTCACCTGATTGCTCCTACTGAAGTCAGTTAAACTCAGCAGAAGTCAATGAAATTACTCAGATGATGATAATCTAACACGATTTGGTTCTATATTTAAATAGTATTAAAATTTCAGCCAGGGGAATCTTGGATGTTTTGTTAAAGCCATGGAAAATATGTTTTTTTCAGATTACTATAGCCTAGGTCACCACAAGGGGAACTTTTGACACTAAATATAATTGTACAGCCATAAAATAAAGATAAATCAGATTATCTGGATTCATTCTGTGTCTAACAATCAAAAATATTTAATTGCCTTTCAAACATGAATTGTTAATTCTCTTATCTTGGAGTGCACTCTACCTCCTAGGAGACTAAAAGTGTACAAAGGACTTGTCAAATTTCACTCAGTCTTCAGATTTGCAGGGATTTCTTGGTCTCTTTTTCTCACAGTGCCTGTCCTAAGTGTCCCCTTTTGCACAGATTGCATCTTCAGAAAAACAGAAAAATTACCAGTGTTTCCTTATTTCATGCTGCCGGGGTCAGTCTGAATTGGGAAATAAAGGGGAGGTTTGGCCAGAAGGGGAGAAGGAAAAGGCTATTGCCCAGCTTGTGCTGCTGGGGCTAAAGCTTTCCCTAGAAAGTTGCAGGGTACACCAGCACTGGCCACCAAACATGGACTACACTGCACATAGAATGACTAGTTTACATTTCATTATTTCTGAGATACTGCCATTTTGTAGTTTCTTAGTACACTTTTAAGGAAAAACAGAGGTTCAGTGAGAAGGAAGTAATATAATTTGGCCTCAAAGGCCTTCTGAGAAACAAGGAGACAAAGAACACTGAGGTTTGGACTGTAAATGATAGGGGCATCTTTGCTAATCACATGTGGATCTTTAGTTTAAAAAATTAAAACAAATATAACTTCTGACAAGAAATGTCACTTCTTTTTATGCTGAGCCTTTTTTTAATAAAAGATCATTCTGAAAATGAAAGACCAATTCTATTCTTTATTTTAAAAGTCATCTTTTTGTGTTTATTGAAAAGGTCATCATTATTAATTATTTGTGAAATACAATACAATGAATTTATAGTCTAGTGATAAATTTAAGTTAAAACTGAAAGTCCACATATTTGAAAAACTTCCTTAAGGATTAATTCACATTAATGATTTTAGTCTGAGCAATTATTTCCTGCAATTACATTGTCATCAATGTTTTATCATTATTTTTTCCTTAGATCAGAGAAAATTGAAACAAAATTCCATCTTCTGTGTTGTGGTGTATAATACACAAAGAAAGTCCTCACTGCTCATGTTCCTTAGAAATTTTTCTGTTGTTATTTCTTATTGCTGTACCAGCCACTAAGAAAAAATTGCTAGACTTCACAGGGACAGGGAAGGGAGGACAGACCCATGCCTCTGAGCATGCAAAATCACAGTTTTCTTTAGCAATTCCACTTGCTTTCCACTGTCTATTGCAATCTAGAAAATGATCCCCCAAAAGAAGTGATGAGCACATTCTGATCTTCAAAACATCACTCAGATCCAGATTTGTTATCTGAATAATAGGTGCTTCTGTTTCGACTTCCATTCCTCTCCTCCTATTTATGTAAAAGTGCCTTTTTCTTCCTGCAGTTATTCAACCAGTGGGCCACCAGTGAAGCACCTTACCCACCAGGTTTACAATTAAGGGAATAGAGAAAGATGTAAACACTTCCCACTTCTTTCCCTCTGCCCTTCTCCCACATGCAAATCTACTTACTTGAGTGAGGGAAACCTCACTAGCACAGGGAAGGGAAGTAGGCTGAAGCCAATGCCATGGGTATGTACACAAAGAGCATAACTGGTGTTATATTTGCTTATTTGTAAATTTCTTGGTTTTAAATAAGTGGAAAGAAGAGTTAAATGCATCTTGTACTTATTAGGGCAAAAAAAACACATCCATCTTCCATAAGATGGATATAGAAAGACAACATTGTGTTCTGCTGTGGAAATAAGTATCTGAATAACTGAATCTGATAGAAAGGAAGGGAGGGTCTAGAAAGAGAAAATAATGAGGGGTAAAGTGTCTGGTGTTTGTCAGCCTTATATTTATTGTTGTAAAATGTAACTTTTATAATCATTACCACATATTTAAATATAAATCTAATACAATCAGTTACCACATTACTTCTTGCAATAGTATACATTCTCTGTTAGAGGTTTTGGCGGGGGGGGAGGGGGTTCATTAATTTCTTTAAGATTACTTAAACCACATCTGTGCAAGTTCAGGAAGCTGATAACACATGAACACTTGTCTTTACATGTAAATTTATTATCAGGGTACTTTTGTTTCACCATCAGGTGGTGACATTGTTATGTTTGCTCAACCTGCATGAACTTTTTAACATTAGCATTGAGCAATACCATTAGCTGGGGATGGAGAGTCTGATGCAGACTGACTTGTGTAATATTGCCTTTCTTAAAGCTTGAACATGATTAACATTCAATCACCTATTGAAAACCTGCTCTCTTTAGATGGGACTAATCTGTCATTATGTTTCATATTTCATTAATCAAGTCTGACCTCGTAATAAGATCACAAACTACTAATGATACGGATGGAGATAACTGCAAACTACGAAGACGGAAATTGTCCTTTCAAAGTGAAATAGAGAAAGGTAATTAACTTCATTTCTTACATTAGACAGCACTGCTTCATTATTCATTGATATTTCACTTGGTAACGCTGGGTACATTAGGGTCCCATGTTGGCTGTTACCGTAGCAGCTCCTGAGAATCCAGCTGAGCAGCAAAAACATGCTGTGCACTGTCCCCTATGTGGTTATATATGACTAGAAGATACCAGTGTCACCCTTCCATGACTTCACACCTATCAGTGCAGAGCTGTTCAAACACTAAGCTTCCTTATTGCCTTTGAGATATACATATATATATGTGTATTACCTCTTAAACAAGATCTATTTTCTGAGACACCATGTTTTAAACTGTTTGGAGAAGCTAGTCTATTGGATTATTTATTAGCAACATTGATTTTATTTCCTCAGCAAAGTGCTTTGTTGAACTTGATGCTAGGTAGTGTTTCTCCCTGGAATCAAAATATTTTGTTTTCAGGACACAGTAGATTCACCACAGTCAGATTTTGATTCATATGGTAATGTGTAGATGGTTGTCCTGGCAAGAGTTCAGATAACATCTTCTGTGCTTATGTTCACCTTAGAAGCTTTTGGGAGTAATCCTAATGAAGGAAAATTCAGTGAAATATTAAACTTTGTCACCAGTATTCAGTACTGCTAAATACAGGAACTGTAGATAGTAGCTGTGGTCAGACAGCAACAGTCATGAAGACAGCTGTCGTGGTTTAACCCCAGCCAGCAACCAAGCACCACACAGCCGCTCACTCACTCCCCCCCCATCCAGTGGGATGGGGGAGAAAATCAGGAAAAGAAGTAAAACTCCTGGGTTGAGATAAGAATGATTTAATAGAACAGAAAAGAAGAAACTAATAATGATAATGATAACACTAATAAAATGACAACAGTAGTAATGAAAGGATTGAAATGTACAAATGATGCGCAGGGCAATTGCTCACCACCCGCCGACCGACACCCAGCCAGTCCCCAAGCGGCGAATCCCTGCCCCTCCACTTCCCAGTTCCTAAACTAGATGGGATGTCACATGGTATGGAATACACTGTTGGCCAGTTTGGGTCAGGTGCCCTGGCTGGGCATGAGAAGCTGAAAAATCCTTGACTTTAGTCTAGACACTACTGAGCAACAACTGAAAACATCAGTGTTATCAACATTCTTCGCATACTGAACTCAAAACATAGCACTGTACCAGCTACTGGGAAGACAGTTAACTACATCCCAGCTGAAACCAGGACCACAGCTAAACTGATACTCGCAGGGTTTTCATTTTTATGTAGGGAAGGCACAGTTCCTTGAATAACATTACACATTTATGGTCCAATGGTTTGTCTGACAAATTACTGTTTCTGATATGCCTGTCTTTCACACTCCACAGTTAAACCCCAATCCTAAATGCAGCATAATACCAATTTATAGAGTTGCAGAGTAGCTGAAAATAAATGGGAACACTTTAAACATACATAGCAGGTATAATGTTCGATGAAGGAAGACTTTAATCCAGAGCGTGGCTACTCAGAACAATGACATTGCTGTTTGATCAAAGAAGCGTCTTTAGGGCAGGAAGCCAAGACTGCCAACAAATCTGTCAGGAAAATGTCCCCATGAAATATTCAATCTGCTCTTCACAAAGAATCTGTTGACAGAGGCACTTTGCCTGAATAACCTTCACATTTCTTATGAGAAAACATATGCTGCCACCTAGACAAGATGGAAGTGATCTTTCATGTTGTGCCTTCTGCAGAATTACAAATAGGCTTCTCAGGTGTCAATGTGGCACCAAGACCCCTAGGCTTTTATAGTTCTTTCCCAGTAGCTTACACTGAACATTCTCTTGGAGATGTTTATTTGCATTACTTTGGAAAGAATATAATTTCCCATAGTTTTGTCTTTGAAAAAAAAAAACTTGCACCATTGGGGAAGAAGAGGCAAGACTGGCAACAAGCTCCTTAATCTTGGTAAGGACTGTATAGTATCTGGTAATGTGTGAGTTAGACAGAAGTGCGGTACATTGGAAGCCCATCTGAGGACAAGATACAATTGTAAGAGTCCTTTGCCAAGAACTGAGTAGACTTTAGGCCTACTGGCTTACTGCCCCTCTCTGATCCCTGTTCAGACTCTCTATATGTTGCCATAGCCACAGCAGACACCTCGTAGTCATAGATCTTCAGTGTCATTTTTCTGTGGCCCATCCTACATCCTGTATGAGGTTGTAGAGTACTAGAGGTTACTACTGGCTTGTAAAGTAATATTCTATTGACTTCAACCCTTAACATATAGGAGGAAGTGGCATCATATTTTGATCCAGCATAGTTAGTCTGTAATGATAAATATTTGGGGATGGTCCTGCAGAGTGCCTCAGAAGAACTGGAGTAGAAAAGACAGAGTTCCTGAACACACAGTTGGCAAATGCATTTCCCGTCACAGTATTCTTACAGATTTAAAAAAAAAAAAAAAAGTGTTGTATGATGACTTTTAACATATTATTTCAGAACTACACTTTGAACAGGATAGAGACACCCAGCATTCTCACTCTTATATTTTGATATTTTACATCTCACTAAAGTCTTATTGATTTGTAATTATTGGGGGGTGGGGGATGCTCATGGAATGGTCTTCTTGCTGGCATTCTTTACTTTCAGCTGTTGACCTACTAGCATATTATGCAGCTTGAAATGGTATTGTTTCCATCTTTAGTGTGATCATCAGCGATTTTCTCCCTTTTGGAGTGCTAAAAATGGGATTGTGTTATCTCAGCCTTTAGTTCATGCTAGTGTGATTTGGATCTTGTTGCCATGGTAACTCTTCCTGCATGAGCTTTATCAGGGGTTAAACAAAATCAACACAGCTCTCTGTTATGCATCTGCAGTTAGTACTACTACTTTTCCAATTCCATGCAAGATGTTCTCACTCCACCTATACATATTTCCACCATTTCTTACCTGTGTCAACAAAAATCATTCTTAGCTAGTACAGTGGGCTCTGCCATAATGTGATTTTAAAGGGTACAAGGCTACTTGAGGGACCATTCCAGAAAGGACTGCAATAGCACAAGGGGTCCCCTGCAAAAATTAATGCACACACTGCATAGCAGCTTATTCTTGCTCTCACCCAAAAGAAATTCATTACAGGTCGTTCAGAATAACTGATGATATTCCTTGCACAGGTGCAGGTGCAGCCTTAGCCAGTTGCCATAGATGCTTGACAGTCAGCCAAGAAATGCACTCTATGACTGCTCAAAATAAGCAGTATTCCCACCTGGCAGTTCCAAACAAAGCTCTCAGCTGGGTTGGCAAGTTAGTCTTCTGCTGAAAACTGAGGGACAACAAGCTGGTCCATCTACATTCAGTTGTCTCTTTCAACAGTGCCGAATACAATCCTTTCTTGCCCATTTCTCATTTTCCTCTAGCAGTTCTGTGGGAGTTAGCTAATTTTAAGGGAAATACATAGGGGCAAGAAGTTTCTTTTGCTCTGCTAGTTCTGAGTGCAGATCTATTATCCCATGCTGAATGGGGCATCACTAGAGTTGGTTACATCGATATGAAATCCAAACATACAGGTGAAAAATGCAAAAGTTAGAGGCAGAGTGTAAACTCACTGAGAGCTTGAAAACTTGAAGCTTTGAAAAGACTTTTCTGGAGTTCAAGCATTACTACTTTTGCTAGCATCTTATTTAAATTTTTGTTATTGTTGGCTCTAAAATCTTAACTTTCTTCAGACTGTTCCATTGTCCAATTATTCTCACTAAAAGATATTCTTTGCATTTAACTTTAACTCATGTAACCCTTAGCTGAAGGCTACCAAAATTCTGGACCTGTTCTGGGCACTCACACATAATTTTCTTGAAGCCCTAGAAGCAATCAGGTATGAAACCCTTTCCAGGGAGAAAACTGGTTTTGGTCTAAAACTGCACTTGGTACATAGCCAAATCATAGCTGCCCTTTGTTCTTGTCACAGGGCATATAAAATCTATCCATCATATCCAGGGTAATTAAAATACTAGCTAAGTAAACCAGTGTGGACATACTAACTGGGAATGTAACGATGACCTCACTGAAATAAATCCTTATTCTGGATTTTTAGCTGTGATCCAAAAACAAGAACATCATCCCACAGACACTAGCTGAGAGGATGATAAGAACTCCAGTGGAGTTATATTGTTAAATTAGTAACCAGAGATTCAGGTAGCTAGTGATACTTAATTTTTAACTTTTGTCAGCTGGCCCAGGGAACTCATAACAAGGAATTTTTATTTCCATGGATGTGATTTTAAAAGGCCACAAAAGAAACTTCTTACAAAATCTTGTTACGCAATTTTTGCATTCACTTGCCCATGTTGACACAGACTGTAACAATCAAGTGGGATATAAAATGTATTTTGCAGTGTTTCGTTTTAGCATATTGTTAACTAAGTAAACTTACATAGTACTTAATTTTAATTTGAAGAGTTATGCTTCTTGACCAGACTTTTCTAAAAGTACCTACTGATCTATTCTCAAAGTAAGCACAGAAGCCAGAGCTCTAATAAACTTCCAATTGAATCTTGATTAGTATAGCTACCTTAAGTGTGCACTGCTTTTAGGTACTATCCAGGCTAAGAAGCCAAACCATATTAACATAGCTTTATTACACAAGGTATCCAGAGGCCATGGCTGGCAATATAGAAGACAAGGAAATCTTTCAGGAACTGCCTGAAATCTTTCAGAACTCCTGCCTAAAAGTATGAGGTGAAGCAGTACTGAGAGAATGGGGAAACACTCCCCTCCCCCTGCTCTCTGCCATTCTCGTGCTCTTCCCCTAGCTTATTTATTTAAACGCTTACTTTATAAATAGATGACTCAGCCAAGCACTGTGCTGTGTCCCCAGCAAGAAAGTAGGGTAAGAATCTGGACAAAAATTGAAGCTCTTACTTAACTGTGTTAAACTGTTAGTATTATGCTGACGAAGTTTGCTTGGGCTTAATTAGAAAAGAGTTTCTAATATTCAGCCAAAGTGTCAGGTAGTTAAATGAC